ATATTCCTGTATATATTGCATGGAACGAATAAAAATTAAATAGCATCGAATTCTTTCAATATTTTTCTTGGTTCATACATCACAAACTAATATTGCAGTAAATTCATGAAATGAACGGTTTAGATGTTAGTTTGCGGGAACAATAGCCTTGAAACAATCGATGTGACAAATTCGACTAATATGATAATATTGCAACTAGAATTTGTTAGATTAGTCGAAATTAACCTAAAAAGTGGGCGCATACGATCAACGAACTCTGTGGAAAGTGTAAACAGTGCAATCCGCGTTCATCTAGGTTATATCTGAGATTGTGTCTTGCGTCTTGGTTAGGTCTCACCCTATTCGCACTCTGATTTGTTCATACGTTTTTATCAACATCTCGTTATGCAAAATAATCCGAAGAGAGATTAAAATTTCCCGAAATAAAGAAAAGCCACAACAAGAAAATTACGGAGAACATTTTGGCGAAGAAAATAGTTACTCCGAAAGCTTTCAACAACGCGCACCATTTTCGGGACTGCATAAACAAATAGGTGGGCGTAAATCGAAACTGACCGAGCAAATGGTCGGCACGCAACGATTGCTGCTATAGCTTCTATCATAATTAATTTTCGATACATTGTATAATACAGGTTTATCCGATCGCGGAGACAAAAGTAGATAAACCTCACCCTGTTGACATGGGAAGCTTTGGCAACGACATGATCCACCACTCGAGATTAAACCGTCGAACTTTGAGAGGACATAATTTACGAAAAGACTTTACGACGGATACAGTCGGATAACCTCCGTCTGATGTTCGAGGAATTTCTTTCAATAAATGACGATTAGTTGATAGAATAACAAAGCCGGCGAACAATCGGTGTCCAATTTTGCAAAAAATGATTGATAATGATAGCATCGAACAAGAGATACGAGTCGAAGCAAATTACGCGGTATCAGGGGTATTTGTTTAAGGACAAGTTAAAAGTGCGATAAAACGCTTGCGAAAAATCGGCGCATCGATTTTTGCGGAGTCATTGTAAAAGTAATACTCCGTTTTTCATGTTCGCAGTGACTACAGGCGGTAACAGAATCTTGCGAACTTCGTGCAAACGTTCGAATACAAAATGTTCTAAATTCAATTAAGAATTGACCCGCAATTATACCGTAAATTATTGCGCAAAGTAAATTGATTGGTGACAGGCTAATGTTAACCGACTTACTATTAATTATACTGTTTTATACAATATCGTGTATCACAACAGTTATGCAGTTTCATACATTTTTTAGGTCATAGATAACCAATTTAATATTAATTATACTGTTTGCATAATATCGTGTACACTGTAACAGAAACAGTTTTATACGTTTTTCAAGTCCGAAAATACGATGATAATAATCGATTCACTATTAGTTATGCTGTTATACGTATAATTGCAGAAACAACGTTAAATAATTAATTATAAAAATGACCTTCTCACGTAATATATTTTAATATTTTTTAGTGTATCTTAACTGAATTGTGTGATCAAAGAA